ATAAGGTGTTATCTGAAAGTTGTTTGTTCTGTACTTGTTTGGTTTTCTTGATAATTCTGTTAGGGAAGCCATTATAATTTCTTTGAAGGTTGTTTTTAGGTGTTCAAGTTCTTTGTTCAATAGTTAGGTGTTGTTCAGAGCAGACTGTAAAGGCATTAACTAGACCTTTAAGGGTAGCTTGTTTCCATTTATTTTCTTGGTCTTTCCATGTAATTATTACTCGGGCTTCCAACCCTTTTTCTTCTTCGTCATGGTCTGATATTTCGATCACAAATTGTCCTCGGACAAAATAGAATGCACTGGGTACGAATGAAACCTATCACATGACATTCACAACTTCCATGTGTTTATTGTGTCGAGTGTGATAACACAAGATGAAAGACGTGGATTAAACTTCAAATACGCTCAAATCACTTACAAATCCACAATCAACAACAATGTCAAGTGTTTTTCGAAAGGGCATTTTGAGAGAATTTATCGCGAATTTATCGTGAAATTTATCGTACTGCCTATCCTGAATTGTACACCAAACAAGCTACATATCTTATCAAAAGCGAACTATTATAACTGGTTATACAGGCTCTGAAACTACAAAGGACTTCTCTAAGGAATTCGAACAGAGTCCTACTGAGGAAAAACCCACGATTGGATGTATTTTATTTAGCGGAGAAGATAAAAGACTGTGTTTATAGCCTTCCATGTCATTATTATCTAAGTGAGGACGGTGAATCGCTGAAGCTGTCCTCATAAAAGAACATAACCCAGATCTTAATGAGCAAGGAGAATCAGTTGCATTGAAACTGATTGTAGAACAATCTCTAGAGATTTGATATAATTATTGTGATAATTTATTCAAATTGTTAACTTTTAGTTAAGTTAATACAGTTGATGATGGATGATGGATTTTGTCCGAAATATTTGTATTAAGAAACTTCTTGTCATTTTATTTGCTTCTAAAATCTTAGTCCAATCAACCAAAATCTTTAAGTTTACCTTTTTGTTTTCATTTATATTGTCTTGCTCATTGACTATATTAAATTATAGCAATTACTTGGAAAAACATGAAAATATGCAATTGCAAGTGCCTGCAAAAATTATTATGTCGAATAAGGTACACTAAAATTAGATTTCAATTTTATTTTTACTTTTATATGGTTATTTTTCAGGGTCAAACTACTATGTCCGCATCCTTTCAACCATTGATAAAGAACTACTTAAACCTAGTGCATCAGTAGCTTTACACAAGCACTCAAATGCTTTGGTAGATGTTCTACCCCCTGAAGCAGATAGTAGTATAGCAATGCTAACAGCTGATGAAAAACCAAATGTGCCATATTCTGACATAGGAGGTATGGACATCCAGAAACAAGAAATCAGAGAAGCTGTAGAACTTCCGCTTACGCACTTTGAGCTCTATAAACAGATTGGTATTGATCCCCCTAGAGGGGTACTGCTTTATGGCCCTCCTGGCTGCGGTAAGACCATGTTAGCAAAAGCTGTTGCTCACCATACAACAGCATCATTCATACGTGTCGTGGGTTCAGAATTTGTACAAAAATACCTTGGTGAAGGTCCCAGAATGGTTCGAGATGTATTCAGACTTGCCAAAGAAAATGCACCTGCCATAATTTTTATTGATGAAATTGATGCCATAGCTACCAAGAGATTTGATGCTCAAACTGGAGGTAAYATAATAGATACAGTACATGTTACTCTTTTTACAATCAAATCAATCATGTATTATCATGGTACTCTCCAAAAAGATCCATTCATTATTTGTTTTGTGTTACATTTCATCCAATTCAATCATTGAATCAGTTACATTGTAGTAGTACTTGAGATACTTTTGACCAGATATTTTTTTTACAAAAAAGCAACATATTTAGCCGTGCTGTGCATTTAAGAGTACTTTTCAAATCCATTTACACAGCATAAATCATATATGGTGTGAGCTTGATGAATTAAGAAAGGCAATTACAGGGTTTGTGCTACTCCTTGAAATCCTTGAAAACTCGTGGAATTGAAAAATTGTTTTCAAGGGCGCTTGAAAAGCCCTTGAAAATGGGAAAAATCGATAAAACTCCTGAAAAACTCCTTTAATCTGATGAAATTAACATATTGCCTTTTGCCTTTTTGGATTGAAATGTGGCGACTTTTGAACATCGCCACTRGAAACATTCGCAAACATCAAAAACTATCTTCAAAAATAGTCATTGAAAATCACATTTTTGTGCTTAAAAAGCACTTGAAAAGTCCTGGAATTTTGTAGTGAAAATTTTGCACGAATCCCTGCAATTACTAAATCTTTTCACATTTCATGGTTTTAGCATGCAATATCTAAAGAGTGCTTTACCTAAATTTCTGTTAGATAAAGTAAGGATTTTGTTTTGTGCTTTGAATAATAACTGTGAATTTTTTCTTAAACCTGATCAACTTAGTTTATAAGCAGCTTATATAATCCCCATCCAGRCAAGCCGTTTTGTTTACAAGACGATTGTATGGCGTGGTAGCTTAACTGATCAGTTAATTGGTTTATGCTCTAATTTGGTAAACCAACTTTCAAGGACTAGTCTTTTCTTTCTGTTTACACAAAAAGATAGACATTTACCAGAATCACAGTTGATCTAGTGGCCAGTCTTGGTATGAATTACGGTCATCTCGCCCCATTGCCATCTCGCCCCCACCATCTCGCCCCCACTCTACCATCTCGCCCCACCATCTCGCCCCCACTATGGCATCTCGCCCCACCATCTCGCCCCAATATTATATATTCGTTAGTTCRCATTTCAGATGTTATTTGTGTGATTCTAGCGTGATGTATTTGATTTATTACATATCAGGAACACTTACTTGTTTTAACATTCAAGCGGCAAGTATACTGTTGCTGTTGTCGTTCGATCGACCGTTTATACCGTAATACGCAGACTGAATCGAGCTTTAGTGTGATGGAGAATGTTATTGTGTGGCAATGTCATTTTTATMATGCATCCTCGGTTAGAACTGCTTTCTGGTGTTCTTTCTGTCTAGACTCAAAAGATCCCCCTGTCTCACCAATAGACGTAGCCTCACARTCGTTACACTCAATTTTGTATATAGTGCCAACCCGATCATTGGGATTGTCTATAGCGGTACCACTAATTACGTTTATTGATTATCGTATAAATAAGGGCTAACCTGACCGTTTCCTCACTTGACTCACTTGAAAATGATTACCGCACATGTGGTCTAAATGTCAGACACATCAAACAATTCTTCTCAGAACTACAYCCACMAGRATGATCTTAATGTACATGTTACTTCGATAAACATTCACTCACCTAGGTTCAGACCTTTCAACACTATACACTTTTTTACTTACTGTATATTTCTACAACCAGCATGTTATTTGATAATCATTCTAACTTTTTGAGAGAATTCTGAGAATCATTCTCAGTTTTCAGTAGTATTAGAAGGCGTTATTATGAACYTACTTTGAAACTAATTAAAATTTAATTGATAACGGTCTAACACATTACGTCATCATCCTCTGATAATAAGTTTCGGCTATCTGTGCATGGTCTGTGGGAGAGTTGAAAATACTGACCCCAAGTCTGCAAACCCTGTCATGGACCACGTTCRCTGACCACCCATGAAAACATTGTAAAATACCAAATATTAATAGATTTGATAGAGATTATTTTGTATTTGCTCATCCAATAAAGTGTGTTAAGTTAATGATTTACCTTGTCACATTGTCGGTTGGCTGCATTTGTCATGTCAGTCTTCTACTCGTTATATTTTCTCTTGATTTGATTTTTTTTTTGTACTTCTACAATTCCTCTTGCTTACTCACAATGTTATAGATTGAAATTTATAGTACGCAGATTTGCATCAACATCTGTGCTTGTGAAAAAGCGGTGGTCAGGGGAAAGCCAATGAAAGAAAAATGGCTGTAACTCAAACATATGCTGTGTATAGTTAGCATTTTCTTCTAATCTGAATGCAAATCTGTGCTCTATAAATCAAGCTGTTAAATTTCTCTCGTCACAGTCTGGTCAGAATGCTGGTCAAGTTATTTATCAAATGTAGAGAAATGTGAATGGAAATTTTATTTTAACATGTCGATCAATAAGAAAATACAATTATTCATTTGATTTATTTTAAGTTCCAACATCTCTTCTCTCCTATATTATTTTGATGTCAGTTCTGTTTTCGTCATAAATTAATATTTGAAATTTTAYTTCTAAGGTAAAACTTGTTTATGTTATTTTCAAGTTCCACATCAAAATTCTATACCTGGACATGGTGTGTTCCACGAAGTGGTTCTGCATTTAATTTGTTTGTCTCAAGCTTTTGGATATGACTCCCCTCAGACTTGAACTTTTGTGGCAGTCTAGTCTCCTCTTGCAGCTTTTATGAGGCTCATTCACCCCATATAGGGGGAAAAAACTAGCGAACAAGCCTTATAATGGCTGTGAGTGGAGATGATAAGTTGACCATTACAAAGGAAGCTGAGGAAGAAAAAAAAGGGGTTTCCTGTGAAAGAATCTAACATTATGAGTTTTATACAAGAACTAAAGTGTTTTTGTTGCAGTTTTATGAAATGAAATATTTTGTTTTCTTGAGTTTCATGAAATATTTTGTTTTCTTGAGTTTACTATTGATAGCCACTTCCTCTTATTCTTTGTACAAATTTTGGAAAATCAGACATTTATGTTCTGTGACCTCATCATGTTTTGAAATTTCCTTTGTCTAGCTGACAGAGAAGTACAAAGAATTTTACTTGAGCTTCTCAACCAAATGGATGGATTTGATCAAACAGTTAATGTTAAGGTAATTGTACTCTGACTTGATTCTACTAAACATTTTTAAATGGTGTATGTCACCTGTTATATTTTTATAAATATTTTCCTGTACATGTAATGTTATAACATGTATTTGTAATTTTTGTAGGTTATCATGGCAACAAACAGACAAGATACTCTAGACCCAGCATTGTTACGTCCTGGACGTCTAGACAGGAAAATAGAGTTCCCAATGCCAGACAGACGACAGAAGAGATTGATATTTGCTACCATTACAAACAAGATGAACTTATCAGAAGAAGTTGACCTGGAAGATTGTATCCTTTCTCAGATATTATATATGTGCATTGCTCAACAAACCACAGTATTTTTTAGTAGTATAGGAAATAGCGGTTCTGCGTCGGGTGGATCGGGTAGATCGGGTGGACTGTGGATCCACCCTGATGACGTCACGTTAACTAGTGACCACGTGACGTCACTGATTTCGTCATATCTATTTTTAGATACTGAGTAGTATGTCATATCTATTTTTAGAAATGAGAATCCTTAGGAGGCGGGTTTGTAGTACGTATTCCATATATGGCACAAACTAACAAGCGAATAGAAGCACCTAACAAGCGAATAGAAGCACCTAACAAGCGAATAGAAGCACCTAACAAGCGAACAGGGGTCCATACGTTTTTTCACTTGTATATTTTTCTACAGTTTTTTATCGAGCTTTTTAGCTACGCCTTAACTTATTAAAAATTTTCTTATCAAATTTTAACTTAGAATTATGAATTTAACATTTTGTAGCCTGACCCGTCCTTTTCCCTAAACCTAACCCTTCGACTACAAATGTAAAGCGCCTTAACTAACTTGACCACGAGAGATTACGCTGGCAAAAAACGAATTGTTTGTGACATTTAAAGTATTTTGCATTGCTAATAGCACCGGTAAATTGGGATTCCTTAGGGGCCGCTATTCGCTTGTTAGGTGCTTCTATTCGCTTGTTAGGTGCCTCTATACGCTTGTTAGTTAAATACCATATATGGAATACGTACGACAACCCTACCTCATCCTTAGATATGTCCGGATGACGTCATTTCTATTTTCGTTTAGAGTGAACGGGTTTTTTTTTAATCCAACTCCTTAATTCAAATTTTCCCTTTTTTCGTTTATTTTTTTTTTCTGTTGGTGTCAGGGCACTACGCGCTCTATGTGATTTGATTAACATCATCAATCAGTCAAACTTTCCCAAACTTGCCTGGATATGCATCGTTGATGGTAATTTAATGTATGCTTTCGCTGGTGTTCATCTATCTTTTTATAGTTTATCCCGCTGAGGCATTTCAATCAGTATTGCTTATAATATCATAATATAAGCGAAACCTTTTTCTTAAAAAAGGAAACGTTATTTCTTTTCTTTTAACAATAATAATAACAACTTTACTTGTGGGCGGCACCATTACCTCACAGATAATTTTCAGGTGGGCCTCATGATGTACTTGAAATCAATTTACAATGTAAAATCTACCAGACTTACTATAATTTAAAACAGTTTTTATTCTTACCAGAAACAGAAGCGTGCATCTATTCTAATTGCACTCCTTCAAATAAAGACTTTTTAAAAGAAAGCTTTTTAATCAGAGCGGTAGCTCGACCAACACAAAAAGATCCACCAAAGATCATTGTCGTGTCAGTATCTTCACATTTGCTTAATAGAGCAAATCAAATTTTTATTCACATTTACGAAAAAAAGTTAATCCTCTGAAACAAAGAAGTACTTTACAGCATCCACATTATGCGAGTAATTTTCAGTTGTACCAGCCTATGTTAGAGATTCAAACTGCACTTGTGTGAAAACAACAAACAGCAATATCAAATCTAAACATGACAACATTCTATCRATGTTTTGTGAGGCACACGTGTTCATTCCAGGTGAGCATACACGATGATCCTATTAAATCGTGAACATAGAAAACTATCTATTTGTTTGTTAAACCACTTTCTATTTCTTTCGAACATAGAGAGCATGCAGAGAGATTCTCTTATTACCCAAGTTAATAAAAGTGGATTTCAAATTTAACGTTCCTCGATTTAACTTCATACATTTTATGAATGCATTATTTGAACAGTTCTTCATTCTAACCTCGCACTCCAAAATTTCCACGGTGCTTTATAAATTTGGTAACTCTGATTGTCTATGACTTATAATTTCAACTAATTACTCCGAGTTCAAGCTTATAATTTCGCCCCGCTTTCTGTCACTGCAATAGTAAAACTAATCATCTAAGTTAAATTAGTTTATTGAAAGATTCGTATTTTGAAGAGTCATAGATATAAATAGACTCTGACATCAGGGTGTACTCGTGCCCTACAAGTGTTGAAAAGTGCTGGCTTATTCAGTATTTTTCAAATTTTCTTGTTCGCCTACATGACCAACCATGTCTGGTTTAGATATAAAGAATCTACCAAAGGCATGCAGTTCATCTATAGGAACTGATATCAATATATCAAGAGTAAAATTTGTGAATTTCAAAAGTAACTCCTTGTTGATTACATGTACATTTAGCAGCTTTTGAAAGCGTATACACGGAATACATCGCACGGCAATGCAGACGTGACTCAAATCGTTCACTCTGATAGTGAAACAAAGTAAAAATATGGATAGACTTATTCTAATTATAGTAATTTAAAGGTCAAGTATACCCAGTATCATAATCAGACAGTTTGGCGTCGTGGGCCCGCTCTACAAAATCTTCATCTAGGAATACTCCTCCGTGAAAATGAAGTATTTGGCTCGATACACCAACCTTTATGACCTAAACCAATGTCCTAATACATGCTCTTACACAGATGAATGTTTTGGAATGACATAAGGTCTCGAATATCAAAGAATTCTAAAAAGTTTCAGTGACACTCCTGTTCTATCCCTGTTCTATAATACCCTTGTTTACAGCCGAGTTCGTAATGTGATATTTCGTTTAGAGATCGGAGGGCGATCGGGAGACCCGAAGGCAAACTTCTGACATGGAAAAAAACAACAAAATTATACGCACTGCATTTTCAATCTTGTTTGTTTGTTTTTTGTTTTTTTGTTGTTGTTGTTTTTTTTTACTAATAACTTTCAGTACTGTGATAAAAAATGATTTTTTTATGGGGAAAAAAATGAACAAATTTAAAAGTTTCAAAAAAGTTTGTAAAAAGATTTTTTAATTACTTCTGTAAACAAAAAGGTTTTGTTGAATTAATTTTAGAATCTAGTTTTTTTTTGTCTAATAACTCTCAGTACTGTGATAAAAAAAGGAATT